GATGAGAGCCTCCGCTATATCAACAGTCTCGTAGTGTCGGGGCACCGCATGACGATGCTGGTGCAGGCCTCCAACGTGGCACGGGTGATGGTCTCGTTGTGAGCCTCCCGCATATGATTCTTTGGTCCTCCAGCTTGCAGATGGCATGTTAGTCTGCAGCTCAATGTCGTGCTCTTCAAACCGATGTAATTTACATTTTGGAGAAGTCTACAACCTTCTTTCAAGCAGGAAAATTTGTAAATGACATTGGTTTCTTGTAGCGGTCCGGACATTTTGGAGAAGTCTACAACCTTCTTTCATACAGGAAAATTTGTAAATGACATTGGTTTCTTGTAGCGGTCCGGACTTTTTGCATGGATTGTTTTTCATGATTATGGATAAACTTATTGTTTATTCCGATAAAATTATTGTTTATCGAAAAAAAACAATAAGAAAATTGTATATATCTGAAAACACAAAATTGCAAAAAAATATTTGTGCAGAACACAACCCAATTGTGCTCTGTATTTAAAGAAGATCAACTTTTTTTACCTGGTAAGCCAGTTTCGTGGCAGCAGCCATCAGGATTTCGAGACGTCTAAGCGGAACACTTGGCTAAGCTGAACCAGCTATAGCTATGATCATGAGTTCACGTGGATATATGTGCCGAATAAATTTGATTAGTAGTAATAGTCAAAGTAATAATATTTATAACTAGTAGCATCGCGAAAGTAACTGAAGTAATGTAATTAAACTAATTTTCTTTTAAAATCGTTTCGAAATCAAAATTTTATGTTCGCCGTAAATAGCTAAAATAGGGGCCTATAATGAGGAGATCGATCGTTGCCGCAAATTTTGCGCAATCTATAATATTATTTCTAATTGCATCCAAGACGCTGAATTTCATGGCATTCATTAGTAAATAATTGCGCTGTGATAGACTCGTCTGAGCTAGTAAGGATAGAATAAGATTAGCATGATAATTTCTTCAACAAACAACTATGAAGATTTGTAACAGTATGATTCTGCGCTTGGTGAAACATTAGATGTTACTCGTTTTCATTCACTTTACCAATTAATTTGTATACTTTTCTTGTATTTTATGCTGGTATTTTATATTGATTGTAACTATCGTAAATTATTTTTCCAAACTGAGAGATCATTTTAGAATTTGCAACACGTACAAGGGAAAGTTTTCTTGGTATAAATAAAATGACTAATACAGCATAGCAGGGCAGCATAGCAGAAACAATGGTTGAATGTTTAAATTATACCTGCGTCTTCCACTACTTAAGTTTTCGCATCATATTGATGGCTCCACAAAATGGGCTTAGGGCTGCGGAATAACTTGGACATCAGCGTAGCCGTGGAACGAAAATTGTGCCATGAAGAACGTATATGTCAAGAATGAAGAACGTCTTCCTGCCACGCTGTTGTTGGTTTCGATGGTATATGTCGATCAATATGGCGTAGTGCCATTCACTCGCCCGATTTTCTGTCCAAGGTTGAAGGAACTCGTCTTGCTGAGGAACAAATCCATGTCTTGCACGTACGTTGTTTCAGTTGTGGCCAAAATCACTGTCAGCACCCGAGTGAGCTGTTGCAGGTCAATCTGTGTGTAGCTGTTTGATGATGGAAGCGTCACAAAAAATTGCCTAAAAGTTAGGCAGACATATCCGTCAGTGGCATACTATTGGGGGTACAAATTAGAGGGGTAACTGAGGGTGAGTTTGTCTTCACGATGTCTCGAAGGTCTCCCCATGAGGTGTAACAAGCGTCGTAGGTCGTGCTAGTTCCAGACGCAGGATGCCCCTGCCACCTCACCGCTACGAATGCGCTGAACAGAGCGCACGCACCCGTGCCTGTTACCGTTGTAAATTAAGCCTGTTAATATTATGAATATATTTTATTCCATTTTCAATATCGATTTCTCAACCGAAACACAATTAAAGGCAATAGGCAACCAGTTGTTCATAAGTCTTAGATTCGTATAAATGCTGAGATGGGACGTGGAATTTCATCTTGAATCCTGAATACAAAACGTTTGAAGTATCTCAAAATGTCATGACATTTTTTACACATCAATATTTTTATTACCTACATGCTCTGAAGACGCATCAAAGTAAAATTGAAAAATATTGGGATAATTAAGCATGTTCCAAAATTCATGGCTTAGCATTGGCTTGATAATTACTTTTGTACTTGCATTAGAACGAACATACGAGTAATATCAGAACAAATAACGTGATAAGTTTCGTAATTCCTATGGTGCAGAAGAAGCGACAGTCCGCAGTCTGCTGGCACATGAGGCTGCAGGCTGCGCAGGCTCAGGAACCTGGACGAGACAGGCACTTGAGACAGGCGGCAGTAATACTGCCGCGTACCTTGTTGACGTGTAAAAACGCTCATTAGAAATTAGTTTAACGTTTGATCAGATTTGAATACTTTACAATGTAAATTTTGTTATAATAAAACGGTAATTATGCGATTTTATCATAATCAGAATATGATTTGTTAATATGTTTTTTGTTATAATTACGTACAGATTTCTCGAGAGTTAAATTGTCAGTTTATCGTAATTACCTTAAGTGATCAAAACCAATATAGTTTGTTAATGGCCATGCCAATGAAGATGATTATTTTGCTCGCGCAGAACTTCGTGTCGACTTACGATGTTTAAAAATACATAAACAAATTTTTGTGCACAAAAGAGAATAGCGCCAGCCATCGTGACCGAACCAAGGTTGAATTCCTGTCAAAATTATTTCCGATTTTGTAACAACGGCTTCACTAACATAATTTAGAGTTCAAAATAGTAAGAGAAATATCGATTAATATTATAACATTTTATAAATTAAAATTACAATAATATAATCTCGATCGTTTCTCATCTTTGAGAAGCGAATTGAAACTTTTCTTCCAGTCGTGCATTGAAGCNTAGCTTCCGTGCGTTACTGTCGTGGACTGCTCTGCGTGAATTAGCTTCCGTGCGTTACTGTCGTGGACTGCTCTGCGTGGATTAGCTTCCGTGCGTTACTGTCGTGGACTGCTCTGCGTGGATTAGCTTCCGTGCGTTACTGTCGTGGACTGCTCTGCGTGGACCAGCTTCCGTGCGTGACTGTCGTGGACTGTCGTGTTCCATATATATAATATATGGAACGGGCAATTTTAAATGGTGACAGTCTGGCAGGAGAGGGTATTAGAGTGAGCTTCATCGAGTCCTGGCATGAATATGGATAAGAGTGAACCATTCGAATGTTTATCAGAAGAAGGAGTTTGTCTATAGAATATAACGAATCACCGTTGCATTTCATGCTGAATAAAAAATAAAGGAATTAACGTCGTAAAATTAGAATTTGGCTCATTTTTTCAACGTCTCTGATATCGTGGATGCAAAACACCGGTCATGTGAGCATCACACCAGAGAGGACAGATTGAGCCACGGTAGGCAGTGAGTGCACCGGTTAGGCTTGCGGTTGTCCTTAGATAAGCAGGCGGTGGAGTGTAGCTCTTGGTTCATTGCTGGACAGTGGCTCGTGAAGGCCTGTACAGGGTTAGCCTTATTCTTGCCTTTGGAATACAGTGAATTGGAGGAAAATTCAAGAAATAAAAATGATGAAATATTTTTGTGATTCAAACAGTGAAGAAGGTGGAAAATTCTGTCCATTGTTGTGATTTGAAAGAAATGGCACACAGCATAACACCATTCCACTACTATTTTAGGAGGGCTTTGCGACAATTAATATTCTCGAGTCGTCAAAAATTCGCGCATGTGACCGTGGTGTTTTTTCTTATTAGAGCCTGGTAACTCGAACATAATATGAAAAAATTATGGAATTATTATTATCATGCATTGATAGTCTTCCATTAGGGTAAATAATATTCTTAGAATTCAGCGGCTGGTCATCAATTGTGCTACATTAGTCAGTTTTATAAAGATGGACTGGCGCTGTGTCATGTGGAATGTTTTAATAACCGCATGGTATCAAATGGACGTTACCAAAATGTTCTGCCAATGTTTATTTTCAGATTCAAGCTCAATCAAAGGTTGGTAAAAAACGGCAAACTCACTGACATTCCTCTAACGGTCTACCACGATTTCCCAGGACTAACTCAAGCAATAGACAAGTTGTTTGTCCCCAGGAAACGTTTGTGCGTTTTTTAGACATTATTTATGCATTTCCAGTCTCTTATAAACTTTCCCATCATTAAATTAGCGAAAAATGATATAAGTTACTAAGGCAAATTTGGTGAATAGATAAGTTTATCCTCACTCAAAGATTCCTTTACGTGACAATCAACTGCCTAATAATTAAATAAATAAATAAAAGGGCGAATAAAATTAGTTCCGATACCCGGCTGATCCTGTTTAGAGCGAAAGCTTGATAAAATAATAAGATCAACCCTTGAAACCGTCAAACTCTATCATTATTACAGTATTTAGAATCCTAAGTATGATTGATTGTTCGCTTGTATATAGAATATTTTAGTTTAATCACAGCTCGTTATAATACAGTGGTGTATTATGTCTTTTAAATTTAGATTCTCTGCTCAATTTCTATTGGTAATCAAAGCGAATAAGCCATTTTATTTGTTGTACGTGTTTTCATGAACATTCTGGTCAAACTTGACTGAAAAAATTAATAAAAACCTGTAGGTATTTTCTTTGTAAGGAAGGAAGAGTCGTGAAAATATTTAAACTTAGTAAAATTTATACGGTGCGCATCCTGAATGACAGAAATACGTCAAGTTCAGACAACGGTCATAGTCAAGCGAGAAGAAACAGTATATGAATGATTCAATATAAGTCTATTCGTGGCTAACGGGCAATAGACACACATAACTTGTTGGCAGCATTACATGAATATTTGTTTTGTATTGAAATGTGTACAAGGGTACTAATATCTAATAGTACTAAAGTGTACAAATATGCTGTATGCTTTCCCTATGCCCAATGCTCGCTAGTAATCCTTTAACTATCAGCCCGTGACACAAGACAGGAAGTGCCGTGAGTGCAACAGACCAGATGACGCCCTCAACCAATAACTATTAACTATTATTCAACATGCGCCGTTAATGAGGCTTATGTGCTTCCTATATTCTTTTCAATGTTTACCGTAATCAATCCCGCCCTTAATAATTCTTACCATCATCGAATTCTGCCACCGGCAATTCTGGCCATCATCAATTTTCTCAAACGGCAATTCTGTCGTCGCCAATTTCGCCATCGTTAATCTCTGCCAAGATCATTTTCCATGGCATTATAAAGACTTAGATTCATTTTGTGTCAGAAATTTGGTGGAGGCAAGCTCCCAAAAACTGAAATAATTAGCAATATTTTGTGACTATCAATTTCTGCAGAGAATCGCACAATTGAAATGTAATTCAGAAGAAATTTGTCGTGGAGGATTACCGTTCATAGCGAGCTTGTCATTATGGGGATTATGGAATGGCTTGTGGCAGCCATCACAGCCTCGCTCTTCTGCGCTGCAGGCGAGTAACATTTATTCGTCTTCCTTATTCAGGTGTTAATTATATGCATTGGAGTTATAAAGAAAAATATTTGAAAAATGAGAAAAATTTACTAATTAATTATGTAAATTTATAAAAAGTCACTCGTTTTAAATCCTTTGTTATGCCCATCATAAAATCTTTCAAAAGCTGTAAAACTGCATCCATTTTCTTCCGATTTATAAAACCGTATATTAAAAACCACATGAATTTATTCTCAAGTCAAAATAAACAGGGTTAAAAATACTCCATGCAAATACATTCATTTCTATGATTCACTGCAGTTGGTGCTGACATATCGAGGTGTGACGACGGCTGGCGATCGATGAACGGACGATGCGTTGCAAGTAGCACAGCCCTCGGACGCTTGGGCGGCGAGGGCTCCGCTGAGGGCTTCTTGGGCGCGCGAGGGAAGTGCGACCTGCAGGGAGCGTCGCTGCTCGTCATCACGCTTGCTGATATACCGGATCTTTTAGCCTCGAGTGAAACAGGTGAGCAGTGAACTCAAGTTGTGCGACTTAGGTAGCTATGGTAGTAGGTACAGCCTGATTATGCTGTGCGCACTAGTTAGCGATGGTTGTAGGTACAGCTTATGCTGCGCGCACTAGGAAGCGATGGTTGTTGGTACAGCTTGAACAGAGTGCACTAGGAAGCTATGGTTTTTGGTACAGCTTGAACAGGGTGCACTAGGAAGCTAAGTTGTTGGCACAGCTTAAACGGGGTGCACTAGGAAGCTATGGTTGTTGGTACAGCTTGAACAGGGTGCACTAGGAAGCTATGGTTGTTGGTACAGCTTGAACAGGGTGCACTAGGAAGCTNATACACATCTAGATGTGTATAAGAGACAGAGCTTGAACAGGGTGCACTAGGAAGCTAGGTTGTTGGTACAGCTTGAACAGGGTGCACTAGGAAGCTATGGTTGTTGGTACAGCTTGAACAGGGTGCAATGGTTATCGATGGTTGTTAGCACAGTTTCGCCTTGAAGTCCCGGGGTGTGAAGATAATTTGGAGGCTACACTCTAGCGTGGCTGTGGATGGTGTCGTCCTGAACTCATCAGAGGATCATGAGATTTACGAGTATGAGCTAAAACTTTAATGTGAGTTTAACAAATTCTATTTACCCCGTTAAAAGTATGATTGTGGCAATAAGTACATGTAAATAAAATGATCATGTATAGGTAAGCCGTGGAACATTATTATTTCAGTTGACTTCAACTACTCTTAAATGTATTTGTGATTATTGTTCTGACATTTAGCGCTCATTGGTATATGTTGGTAATGACATATATATAAATAATATTTTAGATTTTGTTTATTTATAATTTGTATTATCCTTACGTAAATTATCCAATCAGAAGTCTCTGTTCGAATAATTTTTTTTCCTTCTTATTTTAGATGACAAAGAAATTTATTACTGGATTGGAGGCGTAGCAGACCAAGGGAAATTGTCCAAATATTCCCAGACTGTAAAAGTTAGAGAAGGTATGTGTTATTTGCAATATAAATAGGCACATTTTTATTTCTTGGACGCAAAATGAATAAAATACTTTGATTGAATAATAAATGTAGAAGTATGCATTGCCAAACTTTGATAACAAACAGTTGACCTGCAGAAATTACTTCAGTTGGGTAGAATGCAAGTACTATAGCAATCCTGAGATTATTATTTTGATCCCAAATAATAATTTAACTATGAAAATATGGACAAATTTAATGAATATATCCTCGACTTAACGGGATGAGGGAAATATATTAATTAATTCGGGCCCCAAAATTATTCGACAGATCCTGACGACGCTGATGACGGGCGCGATCTGTGCTGGGCAGCATGCTTCCGAAGCATTAATAATTTCGTTGAACTGACGAAGGCTTCATGTCAAATGAAACTCAATTTTTTATGTGAACGGCGCTTTGAAACAGATGATTGCCGTGAAGCGTCCTGTGCACAGGTGGGTAGAGGAAAATGAAGGTGTTGTAAAAGATCTACAACATCTTCATCATAACTGAAATATTGTAAAATGCATATATCACATAAAGTATTATTCGTAGGAAAAATGCGATTATTCTGAGGCCAGCGTCACGTTCTCTCTTCTTCATTTTAAGGGATTGAAGCAGCGTGTGAGGAGAGAAGTTGGTCAAGATCCGTTCAGGAATGTTTTTAGCGATCCACTTAACTTGGGTTTTGGGAGTATAAATGCCATCAGGAATCGTGTACCTATTAGGTTCAACCCAGGATCATTCCAATTTCCACCTCACTTGGCCCCTATAACACCAAATCCAATGGGAATTACATTTCCAACTTTCATAGGCAAGCTGCATCCCCTCATTGTTGTACCTGACCACCAAGGGGGAGTGGTTCATAGACTGGACACCCTCTTCGCCAGCGACCGAGGTGACCGAAGTAACCTCATAACAGTTCAACCTCCTGTCACTCCCCGTACAAAAAGCCCGTCAAAAGGTGACGATATGGACTACACTAGCAGTCCGCAGGCGGTAGAGAGTGGAAAGGTAGGCGCTGTAACACCAAGATCTGAACGCAAGTTTAGTCTCAGGTTACCTGCTGGGGCGATACCAATCATCCACGACCAGTACAACGGCGCTGCAAATACAGTAAATGTACGAACAAATTTGTCGTTTGCCCTGCCTAGCGCCAGCACACAACAAGCATTCGCACGAACAACTCGGACACTGGAAATAGTCACACAACCAACGTTAGTGCAGTTCACCACAAATAATGTTAACCAGGCCATCCGCGATGCTTCTGACAAGAATGCAAAAGGATGCTTACGCGTGAGTTCATAACCTTAAACTGACTTTTTTAAGCACTACTGCACTGAATTACCCTTATATTAGAGATAACATTCGATCTCCAAAGTTGTTCAACGTTTTCCTGCAAACTCGTTTTACGTTTTCATGAATGTTTCAGAACGATCATCGGTTCTTCAAAGGTTCTTGCTACGCTCTCATAGAAAAACTCGACTCGTTCATGGGTGGCTTGCAGGCGTGCTTGAGCCTTTCAGCATTGGGTCACAGCGTAGTTATAAACGATAAGTGAGTGCTTAACTTCACCGAAATTAACTGATTCTTTCCACTGATACTCCAACTTGTGCATTGAAAAATTTGAAGTCACCCGCCGGAAGAATGTAGTTAGCGTGCATAAATGGAAAATATTTTTAAATGTTCAAATATTTCGTCACCTGATGATATGATTTCGTCATCTTTCAGAGCTGAGGACGACTTCCTGCGGCCATCGTACATGGATAAGAGAGCGAGCGTGTGGCTGGGGCTTCAAAGGAGAACAAGTAATTCTAATGCTCGTGATGCTTTCTACTGGATCGACAACACTCCAGTCACGTACTCCAACTGGGCCCTCCACGAACCTGGTGCGTTACTCTCTTGCGCCCATGTCTTCAATATTGATGCACAAGCAATATATTTAATTATATATCTTTCACTTACATATAACACGTTTAATTGGCCTTCATGAGATGTTTCTATTAATTTCACATTGGATAATAGAATTCGTCAAGGTTAATATTTATCGTTTTTAGCGAAGATTTTTGTCATTTTTAATTTTTGTCATTTTTAGCGAAGATTAAGGACTGCGTGTACGCCTCATTCTACAGCGGCCGGGGTCTCTGGTTCACCGAAGACTGCGACAAACCACTTTACATGCTCTGTAATTATATCTTTATCTTGATTATGATGTTGAGAAATGATGTTTCTTAGCTCAGGTCATTTAGATGTTGCTCTAAGGTTTTCAAATTCACGTTGAAACAGTCCATTGAATCATATGAATTTGTTATACAATTAACGAATTAATTTTTGCTGGCATACAATATATTTAATACATATTGCATAATAAATATATTGTAAAAAATTTATTTCGAATTCACAAATAAAATAAATATAAAGAATATAGATTAAATAATATAACTAATTATTTTATATATATTTTATAAATGATTTATACATATATACATATATTCAGGTTTGATTGAAAATCAGGGCATGCTTTTTATTAGCAATTTTCTTATTTTTTCAATAATCTGAGCAAAATTTCTTGCTGGTGCTTTGGTGAACCAAAATTGTGTTCGGCTTATTGAAAAAAAAACAAAGATAAAATTGTTAATAACAAGTATGCCCTGGTCTTCAATCAAACCTGCATAAATGAAGAACTTCTGCCTAACTACACTAATATACATATTTATAAATATATAATGTATTTAAATACATGTAAATATTCTAAATACATAATATAATTATTATTATTATTATTATTATTATTATTATTATTATAAAAATAATAATATTTATAATAATAATGATAATAACTAAACCAAATGCAGTAATGATTGTTAAGCCTCTAAGCTTCTCAGGATAAATACAAAGTATTACAAGCGAGCTTCTAATATATAACATATGACTTGATTACTTATGAGGGCTCGGCCACAGCCATGTCGCAGGAAATCCCTCAGCCGATCACCGCCGCCCCGGCGCCGGCATGTCCCGACCCCCAGGGCTGGAAACAGCACAAAGATAACTGCTATCAGGTGAACCATTAACAATTTATTTAGGCCTCTACTGAAATTATGATATTATTACAGCTTAAATTTATTGCATAAATTCTTTTTCACCAGCGTAAATGTATTAAAATTATTTGTTTTTAGAGTTGAACATTAAAATATGAGTAAAATATATCAAACGATATATCATTGTCTATAACTTTATTAGATTTAATTGAAAACATGTTTCCAATAGAGACCAAATTTTTATTTATTTAGGACCTTGGGTTTTCTATGAAAGTGTCAGCAAAGAGGTCTGATAAAAAAACTAGCAAGATTAATATGTTATACTCTATGAGAAAACTAAGACAAAAATTAAACTGTGTATTCTCTTCACGACCACCAAGGTTTATTCGATGCGTGACGGCTTCTTCAAGACCTGGGACCAAGCAAGGTTGTTTTGTAGGGCCAATAGAGCAGAGCTCGCTTCTGTACTTAACGATGAGGAGAACGCCTTCCTGATGTCTCTAGTAAGTCATATGGCTATCCAGCTTACACAGTAAAAACTTAGAAACTTCTGAAATTTTATGTTGTAGTTCAATAACTTTACGAGGTGACATTCATGCCTTGGTAGTTCACGCTAGTACCATAATAGCATTATTTCTCCGTGCAGGTTTACACCGTGCCTGACACCATGCTTTGGTTAGGCGGTACCGCTGGTCTCGGTGGTGGGTATCGCTGGACTGATGCGTCACCTTTTACATACATCAACTGGAGAGCTGGCGAGCCCAACGACTTGCAGTGTGAGAACGAATGGAAGCGAATTTAACTAGCAATAATTTACACAAATGTACACATCAATAAAATTATTCATTTCAGGCTCGTGGTCGGGATATTCTCTTAGATCTGTTATTTGAAAGACTGATGTGGTTTTTAAAAAGCAGTATATTTATGAGATGCAGCTTTCTAAAATAATAAAATCATTATCCTACATGAATATGTTAGATGCATGCACTTTTCTCGGTCACAGCCCAGGAATCGTGTTTAGGAATGTACCCGAAACTCGAGGCTCATTGGAATGACGACAACTGCGGTCGGCTGGCAGGGTGGGTGTGCAAGAAATCCATCCTTGAGAATCCATCCGTGTTTGTCACTTTTCCGACCACTTCGTCTGCACCCGTAGGAAATTGCGAGACTGATTGGCTGAATACAGGTAAATTAAACATAGACTGTATTAGCTCTTCAGGTTTTTGAAATAATCAAATCCCAGATCAGAGACCAAATTTTTCTTTTAGTATTTACTTCTCATTTTGTTAGATTTCATGCCTTCATCAGTTCGTGTCTCAAGGCCTCGCAGGTCTGAGAGGTTGCTTCCTGGTAATTTAAATTCAAATGAATTTTCCCTTCTTTTTAAAGTTTTTATAAATATTGATTGGATAATTAATTCCAAGTTTTCTTTGGATTTTAACTGGGCTTGAGTTAATTTTTATCTCGCCGGTGGCCCGCGTCCTGAGGCCTGTTAATTCTGTTGCACAGGCACGAAGTGCATAAAGCTGTTTGAGGAGGCCAAGCCTTTCGACGAGGCCCGTGGCATCTGCAAGCAAGAGGGCCCCATGGCCGACCTGGTCAGCGTTGCCAGCGAAAAAGAACAAGGTGGGGGCTGCCAATGAACGATTAACTATTTACAAACGACATAATTTTGCACTGCTGGTAGGAATATTGATTCCGGTTGGTCAAAAAATTTTTGAATTGATGAAAAACGGAATTGAGGCGCAATGGCTGGGTAAGAGGGTGCGATGGATGAGGAAGTTGAAGCGTTGACTGGGTAAGATTTTGCGATGATTGGATAAGACGATGTGATGACTTGGTGAGGTGAAGTGATGAAAGGTTAAGGTGACTTGGTGAAAGGTTAAGATGACATGGTGAAAGGTTAAGATGACGTGGAGAAAGGTTAAGATGACGTGTTGAAAGGTTAAGATGACATGGTGAAAGGTTAAGATGACGTGGAGAAAGGTTAAGATGACGTGTTGAAAGGTTAAGATGACATGGTGAAAGGTTAAGATGACTTGGCGAAAGGTTAAGATGACTTGGCGAAAGGTTAAGATGACTTGGCGAAAGGTTATGGTGAAGTGGCGAAAGGTTAAGATGACGTAGAGAAAGGTTAAGATGACGTGGTGACTGGACAAGTTGACGTTTGAGTGCACTAGTATAGAAGTGATAACATGTTTGCCATTCTTTGCTTGCACTCAGCGTACGTGTCGACGTTGCTGGGTACGTTAGAGACGTCAGTTTGGTTGGGCATGAAATACGTCGACGTCTACCGCTGGCTCGACCAAACCCCCGTGACATACACCAACTGGGCGCCGGGTGAACCGAACAACAATCACAATCCTGTGAGTTTATAGGGACGTGCTACTGCTAGAGTCAGGGAGCTATTATTATTTTTATTTTCCGTGGAAGATAGATGATATGTCAGCTGATTAATAATGTCATCTTTTAATAAATAAATAAGTCAGCTGATTAAAAATGAGTACAGTAGGTACAAAATAACAATTTATTATAGCTTCTCCAAATGACTAACAGTAATAATGTTGAAGTCAGCTTAATACAATAGTTGTATACTAGCTATTCAATATGACTATTAGTAACTTTTCAAAGTTGGTTCAGTTTCATGAGCATCTGTACACGATAATTATCTATGTGGTACTGCCCACAAATGGCAAATGTTAAGTGTTAGTATAGGAGTTGCGCGGTGTTTGAACCAGCCCGAGACAGTGATTAAGTTGATCATGCAATATAGTTTTGATAAAACTAGTAAATTTATATCATACTTGATGATTTAGAATAAATATTAGCTAGAAAATCCAATGATATTGCATCATACGATGATGTATTTATGGCATATATATCGGATTTATTTTATAAGTGCATCGGGTACCATTCTGGTCAGACTTTAACGTATACTATCCTTAGGCATGTCTGGTCCAGTATATACATATATTGCTATAGTATGTTTCAAATGTGTTATAGCGCAACGGCCTACCAGAAGGCGTCTTATTCCGTCTCATCCACCCTGGCCCCGTTGGGCCTAACTCAAGGGGGGACAATGGCGTCCTGAACCCCGTGTTCCCATCCAGAATTTTTTGGCACAAGCTTCACAACTCTTTACTGCCAAATCCTGGCCGGGAGAAGCGTTCGGCAGATTCGAACAGTGAAGACTGCGTGGAGATGCACGAGAAATTCTGGACCAACCAATGGAACGACGCCGAGTGCCATATTAGCAAGCCATTCGTATGCCAGAAACCTCTTGGTAAAAATAAATCTTCTGTATAACTTAACACGTGGAAACTATATTAATATAGGAATGCTAAAATTATTATCAGTGCTTGTGCATATAGTGTTTTTCGTGATTTTATATTTTAAAAGAGAACAGGTGTATTAATGTTAAACAAGTTTAGGAATTTTTTGCATTATTGGTAAAATTATGTTTTTAATTATCATTCGTTTTCATATAAGGCTTGTTTACAGAATTTTTTTCATGAAAGGCTGTTTCTTATCTAAAAAGTGTTTGGTGCATTTGAATAAAAGATAATTGTCATCAAGCAAACCAAGTCCTACATGATACTTTTACAAGAAAAAAATTTAAAATAATATTGTGCCTAGAAACAGTGCACATCAAACAGTGAAAATGCAGTGAGTTGAGCGTGGACATCGCAAGCAATGAAAGATTCTGGAATACGAGCCTCGTAAAGCATTCCATTAGATTTAAAAAACTTTTATTATGCTATCGAATTACCATAAATTTTCTACCAAAAATGCTCCTATTAACGATTTTTTCCAATTTCCCCACTGACAGATTCATCTCTAGAGGAGCCAAGCCCTCCTTTGCTTTGCAGTCCACCCTTCCAGAATTATATCCAGTACTCGTCCGTGTGTTACAGATACGAGGAGACAGCTCTGCCTTGGCAGGTACGGCAGTCTGGTGCACTACGGGATTTGGGGTCAGAGAAGAGATTTAATTTGCTGGTTATTGTGCTTTCTTGTTTACGGGGCTGCTCTGCAGTCTGCATACGAACTGAACGTTAAACCAAAGAGCAAACAAAATTCTCGCTGTGACCAAAGCCGTTCGGCTAAGGCACCTTCGCAAACAGGTCGAAGTAGGCCGTCAATGACGCATTCAAGTCGCTTGCTTGCAATTTATGGACGATTTGGCATGTGTGAATATTTCGATAGCTTACACAGTGCGCACGTCTGCCTGTTTACTGTCCTGTGGTGACGCTTGGGCGACCGTTGGAGCAGACATGTTGATTCGCAGCTGGCTCCCCGACTGCGACAATTTTCGACTGGGCAATGAGGATGTTGTGACATTGTGCATGCACAGTCTCAGTTACGGGATGGAAAAGTTCTTATCTGCTACGCTTACGAATATAATAGTAGATGCGAAAATGTAGAATGAAATCGACCGGGAGTCAGCTATAATGCATGCGTCACTCAAGATACGAGAAAAAGAATTGACGTTTACCGGTATTCGGGTTTGTTGTACACGCGAGCCTACAAAAAAGGGAAGAGTCAAACCTTAGAGAAAACATAGACAGGAATTTAGAATAAAGTGTTCTCTCTTCTATATGATTTTTCTATCTAATTCAAAATACAACAGTTATAAAGAATGATTGTACATTAATTACAAGCTTGTAACAGCTAACAAAGCTCCTTCAAACTCGGATGTGCAGGAGGCAGAGTTGCAGTGCAGGGATGAAGGCGCTGTCCTGGCGTCCGTAGACTACATGCCGGAGAACTCCTTCCTCTACTTAATGGCCAACTCTGCCGGAGACTCAGGCGCCAGCAGCATCTGGATAGGATTTCAGTACGATAATGTGAGAGCTAAATACATCGTTCTACGTTAATCTGAAAATGTACAATTAATTATTGATATTTATTCTGATAATCTCGAAGCGTGTTTTTAATGCAATTTGTTTTTAACACTGAATGTATACTACTGTACGTTTGCGTTTTAATTCTAATTCTTTCACTTAGCGTAACTCTAAAAGAAATTTAGAATGTCATTCAGGTTTCCGAGGGTTGTTGACTTGAGTTCTCAACTATAAAAAAATGTTTTTTTTTTTAAGCCGGCTGCACCTGTCACTAGCGAAACAATAGAATAGTGAACAATTGCCTTCCCTACGTTAGTTTTGGAGATACAATTGCTGTCTATTCGCATTACTTTTGGCCGTGCCCCATATTACAACATCATTACTTTTGGCTTTGCTTCATATTACCACATCATTACTTCTGGCTTTACCTCATATTTCCACATGATCACATCATTACTCTTACTGACATCACACCCATGCCTCATATTACCACATTATTACTCATGCCCATGCCTCATATTACCACATCATTACTCATGCCCATGTCTCATATTACCACATTATTACTCATGCCCATGCCTCATATTACCACATCATTACTCATGCCCATGCCTCATATTACCACATCATTACTCATGCCCGTGCCTCATATTACCACATCATTACTCATGCCCGTGCCTCATATTACCACATCTCTGGTTCATATCTGCCGCGGGCGCTTCTCGGCGGTTCAGACGTCGGAGCGGTTCGAGTGGTCGGACGGGCGTCCCGCGTTGTTCACAAACTGGGCGCCCGGGGAGGGGGCGACGGGGGCGACGGGGGCGCTGCGGGAGGAAGCGTCGCGCTGCGTCGAGCTGTCGACTCAGCGCCCCGGGGCCTGGGCAGCCAAGTCTTGTGATGAGGCAAAGCCTTTCATCTGCAAATATGAAAATGGTAACTATAAATATTTTCTTTTCAGTTAGCTGTATATGTCGAAACGGGACTGAGCATAATTTAAGAAAGCTATTTAAGCTTGAAGATTAATATTGGAAGTGTATTATAACAATTTTACTCTGATGATGAGTCTCGATGAGTTAAAGGCTTTGCGAAGCTTGCACTTGCATAGTGTTGTCATACCTAGGATGTGTGAGTGAGGTACCTACTAAGCCTAATTGTATATTAAAAGTTTGAATAATCACAGAAGCTGGTCCAAAATTCAGAATTCAAAGAATTGCGTACTTTTATTGTTGTAAAATGCAAGAATAAATTCTCTGTTCTCGTGTTCAACCATAGATACAAAATATTCTACGAATCAACTGACTGTGTCGGCAGCAGTTACTGCACCTGCATTTATTGTACGAAAATGTGATCCTGAAATTAGGCCGCGATGCAACGCCTTGTGCTAGCGTGATGGGAAATATAATGCCACTGCACCAGTGCGAAGTCACCTTATATTTTTGCTGTATACTATAGCTGCGTGAGGTGTGATGCCACACTGTCTTGTTACTTTAGGTGAATTACATTAATTTATTTGAGATTTTCGGGTGAGATTCGTAAATCAGTTATTCTTCATATTCACCTAACAATTGATGCAAACACTGCACTTTAAAATCGGTAAATAAATTCTCTACGCTGTCATACCTCTCGCCATGAGCGAGAAATCGACCTTTCCCTCTGGTAACATTTTTATGCAGGATAACTTAAAATATAATTATAGAGTTTTTTACCATGGGCGGTTTTATCTATAAAAAGTGCTACTCTGATAGCCATCTATACAAGTTTGATGGCATAACATTATTCATTTGTATGTAGCTGAAAGTTCCCCAATCAAACATTTCCATCAAATTAGACGAGAAAGATTCGGATGGCTTCAAACTAAATAGTTTTGATGGTTCAGGATATTAATAAATAAGTTAATGGCCCAAGTTAGTAAAGCCGATAAACGACTTGGACTGATCAGACGCCCTTACGAATTCCTAGATGCAGAAACAATGAAGCAGTTATTTGTTGCTGTTGTGCGCCCGAACCTAGAGTTTGGAAACGTCGTGTGGTCACCGAAATTTGAAAAGGACAAAAATTTAGTAGAGAGTGTTCAAAGACGCGCAAGAAGGATAGTTCCGGGCTTGAAAGGCAAGTCCTATGAGGAAAGATTAAAGATTATGAAGCTTCCAAGCCTCCGTTATCGACGTCTGCGTGGGGAACTCATTGAAGTATACAACTTAAATACAAGTATACCCACGGTTTATACAAGGTACCAGAAGGATTACCAGAATTTGAAACAAGAACCAGCACCAGGGGCCACGGTTATAAACTAAAAAAAACTGCGTTGTAACAAAATCCATGCGACAACATTTTTTCTCGCTTCGAGTTACCGACATGTGGAACAGCCTCCCTGATAGCATCGTTGACGCTCCGAGTATGAACGCCTCCAAGAACAGACTAGACGAAGCTATGCAGGAGCATATGTTCAGTCTTAAAATGCCTAGCACCTTACGGGCCTTGCAAAAAGTCCAGCAGCTATCTCAATAAATCGTCAGCTATGGGAAGATCGGATTCAAAAGGCCGGATCCCTTGGGGAATCAAGTCACGACAAGTACAAGAATCGGCAACATGGGCCTATTTCTTCAGTACCGACACTTCTATTCTATTACAATAAATTAATTACTCACATGAATTAAAGGTACTTAAATACAGTTGGTTTGATTTGTTCACCCTAAATTCCAGGTTTCGAATCTAAATTTTGTTTTTCAGTCACCGCCCCCATCCTTGACCCAGCTGTCACGGGCGGCTGTCTCTCCAAAGATTGGGTCGACTTCGGTGGCAGCTTCTGCTACCTCGTCAATGCAAATGATCAGTTTACATGGGCCAAAGCAAACTCGCAGTGAGTCTTCGTTTACATTTTAGTTTTTAATATACTGCTATATTGACGTACTTTTTTTAATATATCTAAAAAATGTCAGCGTACAAGGCAAAAATCGATTGGAAACAAAATATTGTTTGACATATTGTTTTTGTTTTGTTTCTTTTTGTTTTATGATTATATTTCAATCATTGCTTTAAATATAATCATAAAATGTAAAGTACACTGCCTTGCATAAGCACACTGCTCAAACAGTGCATTTCTTGCGCAATTCGGGTAAGGCTATAAATTATACGAAAAACTTGCCACACTAAAACTCCACTTAAGGGAAACTTAACCAAACTGATAACAAGCCGTGCACAAAATAGCTACGCATTGTAGTTCTGAAATGACCAGAACACTTGACCGTAAGAATATCTATTTAAATCAGAAAGTGCATTGCCATTTGCTAGGCCGTGAACTGTATGTGATGAATGAGGTATGGTTGCAGGTATTTAGAAACAGTTCTCCATTTGATAGGAAATATGAGTGATTTTAAATATGCAAGTATAAAGTAAAAATAAAATTGACAAATAATAAACGAAAGATGCAATGTGCTCTACATTTGCGCGAACTTGTGAAGTTTGAAAGTGTGAATAGTATTGGTGCTAGGCAGGTAATGCATGTAATGATGCCAGCTAATGATATAATTTGTAACTATTATTATTGGTGCTGCAGATAAGTGCAATTATTAGTATATTATATAGTTAATATTATTGGTGCGGCAAGTAAGTGCAATTAATGGTATAATTTATATTTAATATTATTGGTGCTGCAGATAAGTGCAATAATAGTTTAATTTATAGTTAATATTATTGGTGCTGCAGATAAGTGCAATAATAGTTTAATTTATCTGGTGAGTGCCTCATTAGAGGCCAGGAGGCAGGTGAGTGTGCCTTATGAGTGGCCAGGAGGCTGGTGAGTGTGCCTCATCAGAGGCCAGGAGGCTGATGAGTGCCTCATCAGAGGCCGAGAGGCTGGTGAGTGCCTCATCGGAGGCCAGGAGACTTTGTAATTTAGAAACATTTAACAAAATTCAAAATTAAGTAGAGGTATCATGACATTGTAACAAAATGGTAATCATAATTACTATAGAAGACTATTATGACCATGATAATTTGTATGGTTACCAGAATTCTTGTGGAGTGACGGGACAGCGTTCGACTTCATGCACTGGGCGCCCGAAGAGCCCAACAGTCAGAGCGAGAAGTGCGTTGAAATGTTCAGCGGCAAGGGCGAGTGGAACGACATCAGCTGCGACGTACTGCGGGGCTATATCTGCAAGACGAATAAGAGTAAGCGATGCTAATGCTGTGGATATTTGAAATATTTTTATCTCGTAGCTAAATATAATGTTTTAAGGAAGAAGAAAAATAAAATGCGTTAGAAATGAATTGGAGACGGGGTAGGCCTACAATCATGACAGCGCATTGTTAAAGGAATTTATGTTTATGCATGTTATACATAGGCTCTGAAAGCTCCAGTCTTGAAAAAGGTTTGTGATATTTATATGTTACATCCCATTTTAAGGTTTATCCTTAAAAGTTGCCGAAGATTTTTGGTTTGAACGTTTAACGTTGATCTTGCCAAGTTTCATACCATTCCTTGACTTCATGAAACTAAAATTTACCTGAACAAGAAACTCAGGACTCCTAAAAATACATAATAAAAAGAGGCAATAAACATATTTTAGCCCTTTATTTGCAATTAAAATACAACTGACTATTGAACTTTCACCATCTTAATTGAAAAGTATATATATTTTTCATAAGTTTTCTTTTACAGAACCTCTTTCCGAGACGACCTCGTTGATTGCAGCGGCTGAGACCTCGGAGCATCTTTCCCATCGTAAGATGCCGCAATAAGTAGATTGCTCAATATAAATATACATACAATATTTGTCTCACTGACAATATTTTCTCAGTTGTAAAGATGTTATATGAATGCACCCAGATTGGCTGTAAGTGATATTTGGTGCTATATCTTGATTTTTTGTTTGTACGAATGACCGCATCAAGTGATATTGATATTTGACTGAAATTATTATTAATCCACATTCCTTCATAGGTCACTGAAACAAATTATTTTTTCATGCCTAAATTTTCATTATTTTCAAATTGTAGATTTTTTTTATGTCAAAGGCACGCAGAATCGCTCCACATGACATTTAGTCATGACTTAAATTCTGATACATTTTCCAATCCCAATAACTGTCAGTATTTTCTTTTGAATATCGCTGTTCCTGTGAGTTTTCGCGGTTCATATTTATATTCATTTTATTCATTAAAAAAACAGTCTTTTTCTATCTTGATAATCACAACCAACCTCATATATGAAATTATGTCAGTGATTGGCTCCAAAAAAAAAAAATTCACATTCAAACTGAAGACCGGGCTATTTGCAGCATAAAATTTACACGATATTTTTTTACTAAATTATATTTTGAAATGTCACGTTTCCAAACCTGTGTACTATCAGACGAGGTAACTCTTATAATAATATAAATGTTTAGAATAATACAAAATTATTAATAACTCCGATAATAAATTATAAATATTTTACTATTTTAGATATAAACAATTTTACTATATTAGGTCAGGACGATATCCACCTGAGCAGCGGCTCGGTGGTGGCGCTGGTGGTGGTGAGTTTGGTGGTGACGGCGGCTCTAGGATACGTGGTCTACACATACGTTAACCATCTACGTGTCTCAAGACCTACACACAGGCCTGCCGCCATCACAAGTTTTGACAACGCTCTTTATAATCCCGGTATGATGCAAGAATTTAGTAAATTAATTAGAATTCATTAGATGTAGATTTTTCGTTTATGAATTAATATATTACTTTCTTCGTGAATTCAGTGCAATTTAAAGAATAGGTTAACCATATGAATTGGCTCATTGGAATTATTAGCAGGAACAATGTGATAGAAAACTTATACACGGAAACAGCTTCATTTCGTTATTCATTTCGTTATTTTCAGATGCGCTGGAAAATTCTATTCTTGAGAGCGCGGAAAACCTCGATGGACGCTGCCACAGCGTCACGCTGTCACTGGGACGATCGTAGTTAAGTCATTGTGACTCATCGTGACTCATCGTGACTCATCGTGACTCATCGTGACTCATCGTGACTCAGCGCAACTCACATTCACGTGATAATAAAAGAAGAGTTCATGTAGCCACTTGACCTAGAATGTCTTCAACGCAAAATTAATTGTTGATCCAACATGTGAAAGTGTAAATATGACCGCAGATAAAAACACACTCAACATGCGTTCTTCCAGTCGTGCATGGAACGTTTAACTTGAACATAAGTCACACCGAGTAGCCCAGAGTAACTCCGTGGTGGTCTGGCAAGCCTTCGATGATGTCCTCCATCATATTACATGTCATCTCCGCCTCATTAGCCTCCGATGTTGTCCCTTTCTTAACTGTCTCATGCTGTCCCGCCCTTATCAAACCTCCGATGTTGTCTCCATCTCACCACACCGCCGATGTTGTCACCATCTCACCAAACCTCTGGTTTGTCGCCATCTCACCAAACCGCCGATGTTGTCCCCATCTCACCAAACCGCCGATGTTGTCCCCATCTCACCAAACCGCCGATGTTGTCTCCGTCTCACCAAACGCTCCAGACGTTTATTATTTGCACAGAAATCCCGCTTATTATTTGCACGGCCCATGAGACAACATTAATGGAAGACGAAGTTTTGTGCAAACTGGAATGCATATTCATCAGTATGCTGCATATATAAAATGCATGCATGTTCAAATAAACAATAATATATAATATTATTGGCATGTAATCGTTCAAGTAAAATAAACGAAGTTTTAATATTCCTTTGATTTTTTGTTTCTTTCATTTTTTCGAGCAAAAAATCAACAACACTTTAAAATGTTTCTGAAATGAGATTTCCCTTCTAAGTTAATTCGCTACTATATCCTACTGCTATACCAAGTGACCGGTAGGAATTATTGGTGTTCTATAATAATGATAATCAATCATGAATAATTAAAGCCACATGAGTGCAAATGTTGGTAGCGTTCTTGTTTGTTCAGATTATCACTGTATTTCGCAGAGATGAGTCCCAAGCGTTGCAATAATTTTAATATAAATGTACAATAACGTTACAATAATTTAACTATAATGCTGAAATCGTTGCATTATAGTGTTAGATTATTTGCATTATAACGCTATAATAGTTGTGCTATAGCATTTCAACATTTGCATTATAACGCTATAATAGTTGCTCTATAATGTTACAATATTTGCATTATAACGCTTCAATAAATGTTTTATAATGTTTCAATATTTGCATTATAATGCAACAATAGTTGCCGTATAATGTTACAATATTTGCATTATAACGCAACAATAGTTGCTCTATAATGGTACAATATTTGCATTATAATGTTACAATGGTTGGCAAAAATATTACTTTAGTCGTACAATCCACGTAACACCCAAGATTACGCAAGGCTTCCATCAACAATTTACCGGCGAAGATCGGAATGATGCCAGGTTCCATCGCTCATTAATTAAGAAACTTTTGGTAGCAATAACATTGCGCCTTTTTTCATCATCCAGCAAATGACAATATTTGAACAACATTTTAAGTAGCTTGCCACTGGTGTGACTGACGGGGTTGAGAAGAGTTTTCCCTCACATATTACACGTAAAATATAATTAACATATTTTTCGAGGACACAGCATCGTGATAAATAGGCAAGAGTTATTATGGTCGCTGTATTTTTAAAGGCGTAACGTTAATTGCCTGCCATCATGAAATATTGTTCCTGCCTGCCTCCAGGCCATGGATAGGGGATGAAGATAGCTTCTGGTCGTTATCATGTGTTAGGGTAATATCTTTGCATCAACTATATTGCCCAGAAAATAAAATAGGCACTGTTTATATAAATATATTTTATACATATAGAATATTTACGCTTGAAACGAAGTTTTTTAATTCATTTAGAAATGATTTGAATTCTAAACAAATAGGCACAATTTTGTTAGATGAAGACGGAATTTATGAAATTATATTTTTCACATCACATGGAGTCATATTCTCGACACATACTGTGAATGAATTTGAATCTCCTTAAACTCGATAAATGATATAGTTTTGCAGTGACACAGAGTTTTTTTTATTCCAGGTATGCGGGTTTGGTCCTTTTAGAGCCGATAATTGCAGTAATCCCATATGAACTTAATTAATGTCGACTAATATCTTAATATTGTACCTGTGCAGTATCTGTATATATTTCAGGTATATGGTTTTAATAGTTTTTGGATTTATCATTTAACCGATACCTGCTGCAAGTGAACTTGGATCTCAATCAGACTCAGTCAATAGGGCGATCTAGCAACTGCACACTGGCTATTATAATTTAGGTTATGCGGTTTTAGACGTTTTTGCATTGGGCAATAAACCGATAACCGCTTCAAATGTCCTTAGATGTTCCTCAAACTTGCAAAAAATATAACTCAGTACTCATAGCAGTGAGTGACAGAGAGCGCATTTTCTCGTCGACGAAAACGTGAAGTCACGGACAGACGGACGGACGGACAGACAGACAGACTGACAGACGAACATGGCGAGTACAATAGTGCGTTTTTTCCATAAATGAGAAAATGCGCTAAAAAGGTTGATTTACACCCTCTCAGTGGATTTGAAAATTTTAGGTAAGAGAGTTAAGTCGTTTTCGAATTAGGCAATTAACCGATAACTCCCGCAAGCGAACTTGAATATCTAATTAACCCAAGGAATATGTAAATTTCACATCTGCGCAGTTGCTGTAATAATTTGAGGTTTGCAATTATTATTAGACAAAAAATTTGAAAATATTTAAAAATAATATATGAATAGCGTTAGGCCCTCAAACATGCTCCTCAGTCACTCAGAACCTATCGCAAAGACATGAAATAAAAAAAAGTGGCCGTTAGACACCGCCTCCACAGCAAAGTCAATATTTGTACACTTTTATCAATTTCGTCGGCTTTTTTGCCATATTTATCAAATCACTGCTGATGAAGAAATTCCAGAGTTTGTTCTGACTATTCAATATTAGCCACAACTGAACTGTACGTTTTGCATCATTTTTAACTTGTTATTCTAATTTGCATATGGTAGTAACTTATGATGGAACGTAAAAAATTAATTTGTGCTAAAAATAATGAATTTTAATGATACATACTTAGCACTTACACTATGCTTTTGAGACTATAACTTTATTTTTAGTGTTTAATCTTAATCTTATCTTTGTTTAAACGAACTCAAAAGCCCATAAAGCGAGTTGTGAACAATAAGACAGGATTAAAAACCCTCAGGCGAGTGTAGGAAATGAGGTGAGGGAACTTTGAAATGAGGGGGAGAAAAGCCAATAGGCCTTTGTCTCGCAACCCTGAGACATTTTGTCTCGTAAATAAATTAAGATATTAGTATAGATTCTCCTAACATACTTAACAATGGCTGACAATTTCAATAAAATAATCAATTCTTTTAGTGATGTAATGCGCTGAGATTATTATTTTATAAGATTTATTTGTAACGCAATTGGTTCATTTTAAGAAAACATATTTTTTGATTTGCATAATTAGGCTTCATATTTAAAATGAGCTAGCAGTACAGTCCTGGAAATTAATGCGCATGTGCGGTAATAAAAGGCTCAAGTTTTGATGAAAATTGCAAAGTGCTAAGTAGTCTTGAAAGTCAAATTGTGTTTTTTCTTTAAAAGTTATAAGGAAATTACTGAGATGTGCTATTTATGGAGGTTTGCACTATTGCGCTATTTATTGCAAATGAACTTGGATCTCCACCAACACGAGATATAAGAGTATGTTAATTTTACACGGACAAACAGGCTTTCATAATTCCAGGATTGTGGTTTTAGTCGTTTCAGAATTAGGTAATAACCGATACCTGCCGCAAATACCTTTGTACCACAATCAATGTCTTGCAAAATGGTAAGTTTTTGCCTGCTGAGTGTCTGTATTTTTTCAGGTATGTTATTATAGCAGTTTTTAGAATTAGCCAATTAACTGATACCTGCTACAAATGAACTTGGATCTCCATCAGACTCACTAAATTGGGTGATTTAAAATCATCACAGTGGCTGTAATAATTTCTGTTAAGTGGTTTAATTGTTTCTGAATTACCCAATTAACACAATCTGCCTCAAATGAACTAAGATCTCTCTCAAACTAAAAAATCAGATGTTTTCACACCTGCGCAGTGGTGCTGTAAACTTCAAGTGGGTCGTCGGTTTCAAATTAGTCGTTCTCTAGTAGTCGTTTTCGAATCCAATTAACTCGAGAAATATGTGAATTTTATATGTGCGTGGTGGCTCTTATAATTTCAGGTTTGTAAAATCAGTCGTTTCGTAAAAAGGCAGTTATGGTGCAAGGCTCGACAAAATCCCGGCGATTTTTGTTTCAAAAAAAATCGTTTGTTGCGGAACGATGGGATATATATAAATTTTTATATTGGTTCAGAAATTCCTCAAATATCTTTATCTTATTCTCTAGAGACTAAACCATTTGCTGAATATATATAAGTAATCAATTAATCATATACTCTCATGATTAGTGCATAAAAGCGTTCGTTCAAGTTAGCATAAATATATTTTTTTGCAACTGAAGGAGGAAGTTATCTCTTACCTTCCCTCTAACGTAAAGACTTGCCTTGCCCTGCTATCGGCGGCGCATGGTAAGAGCATCGTAACGCAAACGCTATGTTACCAGTTGCATTTATGTGCAATGATGTACGCCCTAACTGCTCTGGCCAGGGCTGTTGTGGTGCTCTTCATTGATCATTTACCCATTCTTGACAAAAATTAGAGGCGCAACTTCGGCGTCATATGGCCGACCGTTTCTAAGGCCGCCCATGAAGCACCCATATGGCGGATGGGGTAGGCCGCGTAAAGTACCTGATCCTCATCGCAACTGCGCGCTATAAATCACGTCCTCTGTAATGCCTCCACGCACCTTTGTGCGAGCGCTGCTTCTGCCCTGCAACAGTCCGAGAAAACAGTAACAGAATCACGTACTTTACCATTATTCATGGAAGAAATATCTGCGATGAGGGCTCGGCATTTTTATGCGTCGTTAGCAGAAGCTTATCTCTGCTTGGATCTCACGGTAGTTCCTGCAAGAATTCTTCCCGAAACGAATTCCATTTTCGCAATGTAGGAATTCTTTCGCAGCGTTATTTTGCACAAAAGGTATTATAGGAGAGTCATTTCTAATATGCTCATGCAAGGATTTTCAGAGACGGCATAAATAAAGCATATCTTAATAACAAATAACTCTAAACTGTAAAAACCCAAGAGCTCTCCGACATAAATATTTCCAGTCATTTTCTCTTGATTGCAGCTCGTGAAAAAGCTCGCAACTTTTGGACACCAACATAAGAGAAATAAGCTTCAGTGTAATAAAATAGAAGTCTAACAAATATGCTCTGCCTCTGAATGTACATTTGGCCTCGAGGGCATTCTTGGAATAATCAGCGGCATTTCCATGCAAAGTGTCAAGCCAGCGAAACTAAGACATTTTATTGGGTAAACAGACGCGCTCAATGTGCGTATCTTCGTCGCGCTACTGGCAGTCGGGAGGATTTTGTTGGCAAGTATTTTAATAATTCAAGGGAACGGAGCGTCTGCAGGGATTTGCCGAGCATCGACTCTAAACTTTCACGTCTTACTTTGATTTCTCCTTGCCCAGAGAAGACATGACTATTTTAAAAATTTATTTTTATTTGGCGAAACTTTGTTCGTTCACAGCATCCATTTACAAAACTGCTTTGAAAGATTTATTTTAT